AATGAAGGAAGATAAATGAAGGGTTGAAGAAAGCGTCCAAGATTTTAGGGAAGGGGTTTGTGGAAGGTAGCAAGTGATTTGGGTGTGAGATCCCCTTTTTAACCAAAGACCTTAGCTGTTACGAATGGAAATTGCGTATTCCAATGCAGCTGTCCTTCAATTTTAAAGCGGTTGTGCTCGAAGAAGTTTGTATAAGATTTCTCCCGGGTTCCTGGAGATGTAGGGAACCTCATCAGGCCTGCCCAGATTTCCATCAGGCCGATTCTTATCCGATAATTCGAGAACCTGTAAGCAAATGATGGTGGTAACGGCAAAAAAAGTAACTTTCTGATTCTTGTCAGGAACCATACCCTTCACTGAATTTCAGGTAACGAAGTGCAACGGATGTTCATGAGAGAGCATGCTATGAGAGAAGATGTGAAAGGCAATCCGTTACCTCCTCAATTTTTCTATAACGAAGAATATCTAGGAGTAAGTGACTTCGATCTTACGGTATCTACAATGGACGTTCCGAGTTTTCTCTGTGAACACCAGAAAGTTCACTTCTCATTCAGAATTTTGTCGATTTCGAAGAGGCCGTTGAAGATGATCGTATTCACGAATTCCTCCGGTTGGCACCACCAAAGGTATTTTTTTATGGTTTCAATTGATCCGTTGTGTTTACTTTAACTAACTGAGAGTTATCCCAAAGTATTAATAGCATTCTTTTGCGAGTTCCCATGCATGTTTGCTGTCACACTTCAGGCGCGCTATTGTTGTATGCTGTTTCGATGGATATCGATTTTACGCTCGTTCAATCGATAATCATTCGAACATGCATGGGTCAAGCCGGCAAGAAGTGTGAAAGCAGTCTAACTGATATGGAGTGAAATATAACCAGAGAATGGATTGGTAACTACTAGGCAACCCCGATATAATAGCTATGATATGATATAATAGCTCGTCGCCCGTTATTCAGCCTGATTAGGCAATGGGCGCAATGTGTGGGGGCCAGTTCTGCTCCCATTTCTTGAGCCCTCCTTTGTAGCTCTATTGTCTCTTTTGGAGGGACCCTCCACTGGATTTGAGACAAAAGCTGAATCCGATTGTCGTTCCTCGTAGAGGAATGCTAACACACCCATTTTGAGATTGGAGATAAGATAAAGTGTTGAGGTGGAGTAAAGATAAAAGTTGTAAGGCAGTGAAACCTTACGCTTCTCCACAAACTTCTTCATCCCCTTGGGCAAGTTCGGGGCAATCGACCCCTACTCTTTAAGTCCCTATTGCGCACCCCTACAAAACCCTCCCGAGAAGCTCCTTTCAACCGAAGAACTTTCCTGATTGAATAAAAATCAGTAACAATTCTGAATGTTTTGTTTTGTGTGTTTTTCAATACTTACCTATCCAGTGCAAAGAAAACGTCGAAAACAAGGAGAACCACGTCGACAAAGGTGAGCTGTCAATGTAATGTCATGTTTGTCTGCTTTGTTATGCATGGAATCGTTTGTCTTATGCATGCTTCATTCAGTTCCCAAGCATTTAGTCAGTAACTATGTGGTAATCAGCTCTTTACCCGGTAACTGCGTGGTGAGCTGAGCTGATTAGTTTCTGAGTATAAAACTTTTGAAGGTTGAAAATGACTATTAATACCATCAAGAATGAGGAGGCGCAGTTTCTTTGGGCAGCCACTTAAGTTTTTGTCAAGGAATCTGCGACAATGGCTTGAACAGATTCTTTGAGAAGGAGTCCGCAAGAATAAAGGATAAAGGATAAAGTTTTTGGCGTTAATCAATCNCGTCTGAGGGATGTGCCCCCGCACTCGACTTCCATTCAGAATCGTAGGGGCGTAATGGGTGCGTATGTGGCCTATACAATTACTTGCGGTTGCCAGCCGATGTACAAGTCAGTGCTCTTATCCTCCCAGACGAGTCTGGTCCCGGAGGGATGGAAGGCTTGGTTGGCCCAGGCGGGCATCGATCCGGGATTCGAACCCCTGACCGTCCGCAAGAATATTGGAGGGAATTCGAGAAACATGTTCTTTCCGGTCGGGCTTCTGGCCCCTATTCAAATCCCCATATGCCTCCTCAGGCGGCAGTACTTTGAAAAGAGAGAAGTTTGAAAGTGAAAAGAAGTTAAAGTGAGAGCGAATTGGCACTGTGGTACGATCCCTCTCAGTAGCGACCAGGAGCCGTACTATGAGAACGTAACCAGTAATGTCTGATCGTCTTAAGGTAGAAATTAGGCTCCCATTTATCAGAGAGATAGGCAGCTACTTATTGGAAGCATGTCAGCGTTAAGCGGTCGTAAAATGGTGTTTGCTTGATTTCTTCAAATGGAAACAACGGATATTCAGGCAAGTTGGTTGATCCCGAGGGAGAACCTACAATTCTGATTAGTCGTTTCGGATTAAGCCCTGTGCCCTACCTACTCCTTAAATCTCATGCTCGCAAGATTTTTTAAACTATCTGTTCAGTGTGGACATTCCGCAGATTGCACTGCACATCTTCTAGTGAACAAATCATTGACGCCTTCTACCTTAGAAAGTAACAACTGAAAAATTGAGCGGTCAACTTTCGCATCGAGTAGCCATTTTTATAGGAAAGTACTGCCCTGAGCAACCACATAGTTACTGATGATCCGTTTCATTTCCCTAATTGCTTTTGCTTTCTTTCTAAATTTTAGCAAGATTCGGGCTGGTGGTAGACAGCATTGCCATAATTTGATGCGACTAATTACAAGCAATTTCAGGCATCAGAGCCGGAGGAGAGCAATGAAACTGAAAAGGAGGTGGGTTATTTACTTTACGAGGTAACTTTCCATGATTTATGATCATATTCTAGAAATTCGGGAGCGTTTTAGCAATCCTCTTAAGTTGAATACCCGTGAGCATCAAGGACCCTTCGAAAGGCAGTTTAGGTGGAGTGTTCAGACGAAAAAATAAAATTTAGTCTGAAAAATATGCATAGTTATGAGTCCGAACATGGCGATCACTTTAACTCTCTGAGATTTGAATTTTACTTGGCAGAGGGAAGGAGGGACATTTCCAACATGGTCTTTTTGGTCTCACGAGCTCTGCAGGAACTGCAGCAAAGCGCTCAAAAACAATGGAATGCCACCTCCGTGCCTAACAGGTTCTCATATTTCTCCGGACCATTCAAAAAAGCATCTAAACTGCGGCCAAATAGTTGTGCATCTAAAGTTCCTTAGTGCAACAGTTGTGACCCCAATTATCGTGATATTGATAATTGAGGGAGTCCGTGTTGATGGCTAAGTGTGATTGTTATCCTTTTCCCGGCCTGGTCTGGAGCGGTTGAAGGTTGTATGGTGGATTAACCGGCGTGAATTGGGAACCGCCACGAAAACATTACGGTTAACAGGGAATTGACCCAGAAACAGAGTCAAACAGGGGAGAAAGTTATTGAACAAGTTTTTGAGTAAGGTAAAAGCTCATGAGAGCCACAGAATGGGGAAGAAATCGGTTCGATATTGGAGTCAGATGTTTAATTCGTATATCCCTACTTAATCAAGAGGAATAAGTTGTAGTCAGAAAGGAGTCCCATAACTGTTTTGATCCCACCCCGTATACCATTTCTGACAGCGGAGATGTAACTTCCACGAGGGAGCGGGTTCTTTCCGTGATTCTGCCTTTTAATGCTCCATATCTATCCTTACCGAAAATTATTATTTCTTGCCACCCCCATCACTTCTCCATTCTACCAGCTCTAGCCCTAAAAACCCATAGCTCATACTCTAAAGACGACGGCACTGTGGTACTGACTGATTTTCAGTCCGAATGAATTTTTCCTGGGCAATTTTCCACCTCGCGCAGCTTCCCAAACGTCAGTAGTTCCCTGCAAAACCCTAACTTATCGCGAAATGGGTTTCCAAATAGGAGTTTCTCCGGATGGCGAACTATTCGGCTGTAGAATGCGACAACCAACAAAAACCTATATAATGGCAGGAGAAATTGGCTTTCCTCCTCAAACCTAATGGATTGAGGAACACCGGATACGAATCGCATAAGAAATGTTCGCGATGGGTTGCCCACACGCGTCATTACACTCCCGTCGCCACGGTCACTCGAAACTAACGCAACATACAACTCGGGGGATGTACTGCCGAGTTAAAGTCAATGTCACTTGCATCGAAAGGTTCAGCGAAGGCGTGGGAAATAAGCCAAAGTAAGCCATCAATCGAATCTATAGATGAATCGTTCTCAATGCAGGGGCTCATTGACTATCACACACCAACAATACAGAAGAGTTTCTGCTTAATCCAGCTTCACTAGAGACGTACAAATCTTGTCGTTCCAAAAAATATTGTCATAGCCTTGAAAAAAAAATGTAGATTCTCTTTCTACCTCTAAAAATGTAAAATATATGGTGAGCCTCTCGCAGGAACTTACATAAAGTAGTAGTAGTAGGTAGAAGACAAACGTGTCATGTGGCTATCTTATACAAATATATTGTAGAAACTTTTAGCGAAAACCAACCCCATTTAGTGTTGCCCCACGTAACTGACATGCAACCGGTTTGAGGATGGATGAAATTCATGTTAGGCTTAGGCAATCAATACGGGACTAGCCAAGTCAGAATTTGCATCCCTCCCCCCCCCAACCAGTCTGGTCTGTTTATCTGAAACAGAAGATTGCAATAGTCGGCTCCAATCGATTTCGATAATAGAGCTCATCCTCATAGCATACGCACCTCTTCCCCTTTGGCGGTAGCCCATTAATGTGTTTCCTCGACGTTTTATACCATCATATAGGTCAGGCATCCCTAACAGATAGAAATGAATTTTGGTAGAGGTTCGGTTTAATCAGGCCAGCAGCCTCTTTTCTCAATAAACTGCTTTTCAGGGCAAATCGGACAAGAAAAAAGTAAACGGGGTAGCGGGTACACACGACGAAGGCGAAGGCGAAGATGAAGGGGAAGCTGAGGATGAAGGTGAAGAAGAAGAAGGTGAAGACGAAGAGGAAGGAGAAGGAGAAGATGAGGAAGAAGGCGAAGATGAAGAAGAGGGAGAAGACGGGAAAGAAAAGACTATCGATCACGTATTCACATTGCCAACATCAGCCAAAGGGAACGACGTCAAAAAGGATGAGGAGAAAAAGGATGAAAAGAAGAAGATTAATGAGAAGGAGAAGAAAGAAGAGCCCGAAGCTGAGGTGAGTCTGTGAAAGCTTAGCGAGAATGTTTGAGAAAATTGATAAATTAATCATTTTCAGGTAGAAGAAACGGCTGTTATACGACTAGGTGGTACAGCTGCAAAAACTGATGCCGAAGATGAAGGGCTAGATGAAGAAGAGGAAGAGGATGAAGACGAGGGTGAAGAAGAAGAAGAAGACGAAGGAGAAGAGGAGGATGAAGAGGAATACGAGGAAGAAGAAGAGGCTGAATGATCGACTCAAGTCAACGACCCTCATAGTCGCCAATTAGTAGGACCGAAAAGTGTGCGTCTACACTTTGCGAAAGTATAGCCAGTCAAATATTCGGGGCTGGAAATTCGCCGGCAGTAGAGATAGTCTTAGCCAACTTTTCAAATTCGCACAAGCATTCGTCGGGTATTCTGGGGTTGTCAATTTTGGATTTTTGTTAAATTTTTTATTGCCAAATGTTATTATTTATAATTATTGATTTCGTAAATATTTCTTTTCCGACAAACACAGCGCTTTCATAACAAATAAAGCCAGTCTTCTTGTACCGATTTGTCACTTTGCTCTGCTAATTTATGTTTTAAATGATTTGCCAATTTTTTTTTGCATCTTGTGTGTGTACATATGTAACGATAAATGAATGATACGTTGGTTTTTAATCCACTCGTAATACACAGTAATCAAAAGCATAAACATTCTTTTATAACAAAGAAAACAACAGAATCTCCACCAATCTGTAAATACTAAGGGCTGTTACTAGAAAACAAACGATAAGCCAACAATCAACAAGCGACAGAAAATGTAAATATGCTCTTAAAAGCCATAATCTCCCGCTTAACTTAAGAATGCGTTTAAAGGCAAGCTACACTGGCCATACCCATCCCCCTACTACCGATAAGTATCCGAATTAAAGAAAGCTTGAATGTGAAAAATACCTTGTATGCATGGGATTTCTAACAGGGCCAAGTATAACCTTGCAAAACGGCTCTGCTATTCCACTAAAATCCTTTCTAGAGAGAAGTTCAGCAATAATTAAATTGTAGCGGTCAGGCCTGAGCTCAGACTTTGTCTTGAAAGCACAAACGAAAGGAATGATAAGTTTATGTGCCTCAAGCGAATTCGCTTTTCTAGTCTACAAGGACTCGTTATAGGGACGAAATGAAAGTTGCTGGTGCACGCTAGAACAAAAAGATGATTAATGAGGCGATAAGTCATACAAAGAAATATAAAGTAAGCGAGCACTTTGTAGAACTCGGCTTACGTTACGAAATCCGAAGCCGACAGGCCGATAAATAAGAACATACACATATATACTTGGCTGCCTATAGAGATAAACGGGATGGGGCACCTGAACACGGAACCTATTGCTTCATGCTTTGCCTTGCTCTACCAAGGTCATGTCATCCAGTTACAAAAGCCTATAGCAGAAATAAATACTTGATAATAAGACTCACATGAATGTTGTACCGATGCGATCTACAAATGTCTTTGCTATAGTTATTATGTATATGCAGTCAATATCCCAAAAACATCCCAATCTTGACAAGTACTCGAAAAAATGTCAGTCCGTTCCGAAATATTTCATCGCAAAGCTGTTCGGCACTCCAACCGTCACGTCTGATGTGATAACGGTAACACGTGGGAACTTCTTGCATATGCTTTTTATACCTTAAAATGAGCACTATAGATGCGTTCGAACACAAGTACATGAGGCATTATTCATTAATTACAACACAACTCATGCTCAGGACCCTCCTAACTGCTCCCTCACTGCAGACTGGTAGAGGTAGACCCACTATTGATAGAAAACGTAGATTCTCTTCAATGTGCCAATCCCTGGAGCTTTTTGGCTACGAGGCAACCCGTAAAAGACAACACACCTTTCCATCAAAATTCAAATTTGAACGCCCTTAAATAATAGCATATTTCCACTTTCGCCACACCAATACTATGCGATAATGGAGAAAAAGAAACCAATTCATGTTCCTACTCATCCCTAACACGACTGATGTACTCATGTTTCCTCCAATAACAAGCAACAGCACTGCATCCATCAAAAAAGCCAGCCAAAAAATCTTCAAAAAAACTCACTATGAGGGGTGATGAAAAGGGTTGTCAAATAAATGTTCTCTTCCTGCACTTTGGAATCCATGAGGGCACTGATGGCTTTCAACACCGTCGTTCCAGTGCTAAAAACAATGAAAAAGTAGCTTGGGCAAACAAACAGGAGCCTATTGTAGAGAAGAACAATGATATCACTGTAAGATTAATTTCAGGGGATCTACACGGATTCAGAAGAGACAATTCAGGACAGAGATGCAGTTAAAGCTTCATTAACTTAAATTTTACCAACCTTACTACTGGATAAAGTAACAGCACTCTACGATGAGCCATATCTGGTATCAATCGAGCATATAGGACACGTTGTTCATCTCCTAGAATCTTGCTATCTAAATGGTATGGGAGATATACTTCTTGCGATCAGCACTCAAATAAAAAATTAGGTGACGAAACTCCGTGATTGAAATTTGCAATGTATCTTCATTCGCCTCGAAGAAAGTTGCTTTGATCACTTTCAACAAATACTTAACTTACCAATCAGCATCTTGCAAATCCGAATCGATCGACAACATTGTCTTAAAGCAAATTCCATTGCTTCGCCACTTCGACACAAACTGACACCACAATTTCCACGCATGAACTGTATTCCTAGAAAATACTCCAAGTGATAGGACTAAACTTCACTATAGGCAGCGTAATGTTAGGCAACATTTTAGAGGATTTTCAAGAACATAAAATCGAAATCCAGCGACAAGAAAGGACCTGAGTTGACATTAAATAGTAACAAAATGTTCTAGGACTTTTATGTGTTACAAAATAAAGAGAATGAAATATTATAATAATAAAAGAATCCGAGAATACCTTTGTACTGGCAATGAGTAGGTGTTGTTATTGTTATTTCAGTGTAGGGTAATTTGTTNTAGAAAATACTCCAAGTGATAGGACTAAACTTCACTATAGGCAGCGTAATGTTAGGCAACATTTTAGAGGTTTTCCAAAAACATAAAATCGAAATCCAGTGACAAGAAAGGACCTGTAGTTGATATTGAATAGTAACAAAATGTTCTAGGATTTTATGTGTTATAAAATAAAGAGAATAAAATATTATAATAATGGAAAGAATCCGAGAATACCTTTGTACTGGCAATGAGTAGGTGTTGTTATTGTTATTTCAGTGTAGGGTAATTTGTTGAGAGCTTCTTCAATAACAAGTCGCATTAATCGATCAGCATAGAAAACGAAATCTGAGTGTTCGGTATTTCTGAAATAAAAATATAAAAATAGAAGAAAGCCGTCTCTTTAGACAATGACTGATTTTTTGAAAAATGAAGACCATGATTCGGAAAATCCACTTTTAAAATTCCGACAAGGCACCAACGGCAGCGCGATACAATTACATTCTCGTGTACCTCGTAAGCAGGTTGGCAGCAATCAGTCGTTCCATCTCCCATAGGACGATTTTCAGAGGAACTTTCTATGTATGGACGTAAACTACTGCTCCCTTATAAATAGGGGCCGGGTCCAGCTCCCAACGGGGATATGGACGAATTTTCATCAGACTACAGGCACAGCAGTATAGTGGCAGTGATTTCGCAAATGCTTGTATTCCCACAGCTATTCATTTCATACCTAATCCCGGCTCACGTGAGGAAGGATGCTGACTCGTATGTCGTCGACGACGACCCTCCTATAGCTGACCTCTCCCTCTCGAGTGGCTTCTCGAGGGGGCAGGGTGCGGGGATTAGGTTGCGTCGGGTCTACTATTACTTGTACCATTCACACATATACTTGCTTTTGCTCAGCGTGAACGGTTAAGCCGCCCACGCTAATATCTCGCTTTCCCTTCCTAATGAATATGCTGAACCACCTTTGCTTTATTGCCATTGAAAGGGTAAATACCTGAGTCTTCATGCTCCCATCCTGGTTATCGTACGTTATACACCCAAGGAATAAGCTAACCACCTCTAAGTAGATAGGATAGGGTCCTCCTCATGTTGTAAATATGAAATCAACTCCCTCTTCCTAGGCTTCACCTATTCAGCCGAGACGAGCTCTAATCTTATAATAGCAGCTCCTCCTCAACGAGAATCTCACAAAGTTGAACAAAATTAGGAGTAACTGAAAACAACTTGCTTGTCCTTGAGAATTGTTTGGAGCTCAAGAATCTGATCAGTGTCTCGTAGTAACGCCAGTGTACCTCTCTCCACGAGATTCACAATCTCTGGATCCTTTTCTTTTTCGACGATTCCAGGCATTCTTAAAACTGCTTCTTTGAAAGATGATAAGATTTCAGGTGCTCACATAGATTTGCCACCGAAAAATTTCTAATTTTCAGGTAAAGCGATATCGCACACAAATCAACGAACATGCATATTATCCAACTATCAAAATGTACAATATGATAGTCAAATCAACTCGTAGTTTTCCCACTGCCATCACTCTGCCTTTGAACTCAATAGTGGGAGAATAAATCGCTAAAACACATGAACAAACATATTAGTGTACCATTGAGCACGAGAATTACTATCAAGCTTTAATTGCTTCTCCTCCGTAAGATAAGGTGCACCCACGCAAATGCACAAAATCCACTCTGTCCCACGTGCAATATTTTCAAAATGAAACAAGTGTCCTTTAGTAGACCGCTACAACGGGGTCGTAAACGCTGTAATTGTCTTCGGCTTACTCCCTAGAGCAATAGAGTCTTACAAGCGCTTCGTTCAAATGTCGTCTTTCTTCTAGTGTTCTGTCCAGATGCCTTCATTTTTTCAATTCCATATCACTGTAGTCTTTGTCCGATGTACTCCAGTGATCTCATGTAAAGGTGACCTACAGAGCAGGGCTAAATCGCTCATGGTATAGCTCCCCGGGTCCGGTTGGTCAAAAGTCTAGACTTGTTTGGGAGGTACCAGTGGATGTGTAGAAGCCGAGGAATGCTCAGTGCCCATTTCAGGGAAATGGAGGTAGTGGTAGTGTGGGAGCTTAGGAGAGCTCGGAGCCCATTTCAGAGAAATGGAGGTGGGGAAAATCGTCGTGGCTGCGCAGCAAAAGTCGACATGAGGATTTTATAGCCGAGAGGGTCGGCGGAGGTGACGAGGTGGTAAAGACAGGGTCGGTAGTTGTACTGAGGAGCGTAACAAGTTGAGAAGGTGAGCTTCATTTTGTGCAATTGTGAAGCCGTGATCCGTGGTGTTATGTTATCGTGGAAATGAAGCAATGGATACTCGAAGACATAGGTGAGTGTAGTAGAACGGCTGGTTGGCCCAGCACAAAGACCTTTGTACCTCATTTATTGACATGTCACTCTTCATTTCGAGCTTTTCGCACCATTCAAGCGCTCTGATACCAATTCTCATCCTAACGACTTTCGATTGCTCACGTTCTCCCCGTCGATCCTTTCCGCTTGATGCTCGTTTCGTTCGCGGCGCTCGTATCGCGGTAGTTAGCCTTGACTACTACTTATACAACTCTTACAGGAAACTAGAACCGACGATTAACTCTCGTTCTCTCAAGCCATGGACAGTGCGCCACCAGATCCGGTAGCATCGGATCAATCAGGTGAGTCTGCATCAGTTCATACCGCACCGGGTTCCGGTCCAAACGTAGGCGGATTCATGCCAAGTGCCGAGCACCAGCCTCGGTCGTAGACGCACTTGTGCGATCTCCCGAGCTGGAGCAAGAAGCTCCCATCTCTTCTAACCTTCAGGTTTCAGATCTGTCAGCCCCCGACAGCAATGATGCGATGAATTCTTCTTCCTTCACTCTGCCAGAGCTCGACCTATCGGAGGAAGCACTTCTCGCCCCCACGCCTGAACCAGCAGCGTCGATGGAAGCTGGCGACGGTCAGCTTGCGTACTCAATGGAGGACCTGTCCCTTCTTCCTCCAACTGTACCCGCATCGTCTAGCTCCGCTAATCCCGCTTTAACAGGCCTCCTTTGGACCAATCTGGTAGAAGGATGGCGCAGGTCCATCAGGGATACCACTCCCTCCTGCACACCCGGCAGCGTCCCGTGGCCGTGGAGGGATAGTGCACGTCGGCGGAAGGTCTCGCTCTCGTCCTCGACGTGGTCGTGCTGCGGTAGTACGACACAACGTGTCTCCGCAGCGACCTTATTATCCTCACCTGCTAGACAATCCTCTAACCGTTCGAGAGAACTATTTACTCAGTCTCCACCCTTGATACGTCTATCTCCGTCTTCGACGCATGGTGACGTGGCCATAATAGAGTCACCAATGAGCTTCCAGTATCGACCTACAGGCACCTCCCTGACGCGGCGTATATGAGCATCAAGTTCGTTCGGTCGCTGTTTCCCAACTTCGTAGTCCGCAGGCAGCCTTATCCGGACCCCTTTTCATTCATAGAGCTGCAGCACCTCGGGGATTCCATTGACATCCGCTTCATTACCGAAATCACGGCAGTGCGGCAGGGAAGATATCGTGATATAGACGTGGATAAGATCCCACTCAACACTGAAGATCCCTCGCAGTCCCTTATTGATCCCAATGACCAGCGCCGGCCGGTGCTCTACCAGGTAGTGTGAAGAGGTTGGGAAACTGGTGTCATCCTCGAAGCCAAGAATTTCTTCTTAGTCGGTCCAGACCGCATGGATCTCCACTGCATTGTCCTCGATCAATACGCGTTCAACCACCTAACGGGATTGCGCGGATTCGACAATGCCAAAGTATCGGTTAAGGACTTTGTATGGGTGTGTGATATGAAGCCTCCTCGACAAGCCCTTCGGGAACCCGAGAAGACCCTCACCGCGTCGCGATATTCCCGCACTACAGCGACGCTCCACATAAGCTCCGCCTACTTTTTCCACGCGGAATCATTCGCATTTGTGACGCCAGTAACGCTCTCGGAGCCGGTGTACGGCATCATATTGTCGCGCAAGTTCACGCGAGTAGGAACGATCGCCTCCGTTAGAGCCGTGTTCGGGGAAGCGCCTGACGCCGTTACCCTAACTCACTCGATCTGCGATTTTAACCTCGAGGACATTAGGGAAAACAATTTCATAATGGCTACCTCACGGGCTAAAGTATCCTGCGCCATGCGTTTTTCGGAACCGCCGGCGTCCCCCGGAGCTCGTGCAGCCTTGTGCAAGCTGGTCTGCCAGTTCCTCCCCATGCACCCCATTGAAGGGTCGGCCCCGCTCCGGGTTTGGCGGCTGCAGGAAAGTGACCACGCATGGTTAGCGGATCGCGCTGGTCTCTTCGAGAACTACCGCCGCAATCGCGACGAGGCAGGGCTACGCAACTCGAAGATAGGTGGCGTGCTCGGCCCTGGCGGCGATCAGTTCCGCGGAGGACGATCGCCTCTCCCACAGGATAACGGCCTCGACGACCCGTCCATATCATTAACAGCGTGTCATCTCACCTCTTTACTCTGTATTGATGCTTTAAAGATAAACTCTATTAATCCGACGTCTCGCGTAACATGATATCAACCGCTCCACTGGGTGCGCTCGCTTACTCTTGGAAGAGTTTGTTTCCCCGACCACGCAGATTGTGGTGTTCGGAGCTGAGGCGCGACCCGCCTTAGCACCAGTCTGCAATAAACATCATACTGAACCGCTGTATTAGTTAAGGAGATACACTCCCTGTGGCTGGAATATAAAGTTTCGCGACAGCTCCTATGTATCCGCGATATATTGCTTGTCCTTGTAGGTGACCTTTCTAAATAAAGCATTTCAAATCATCTGGTTGCATTCAATTCTTTTTGTTCCTCACAATAGCTCGATAGATATGTCACTGTCATATATCACATTTTTATGGTCTTTTTCACGATCGCTAATCTTAACTGATTCATTTCATATGTCGCTTTCACGATCGCTAATCTTAACTGATTCATTTCATATGTCGCGCATTCCCGCGATTTTTGTCAGAGGTACCTCATTTCGTTTAGCCGTGTTTCAATTTTGGTCGCATCAATAAAGATGTAACCACTGAACCAATGCTTCGAAGGTGAGATACACTCCCAGTTTCTGGAATCTAAAGATCCGCCACAAATTTTGGTGCATCGGCCGGTAACCGAACCCGGACTTGAAGCAGCAATCGAGCGATTGTCACTTGTCCATGACTTGTTGGAGGACTTCACCAGCCTAAAGCCTGCCTTGGAAAGACTGGTCGAGCGTACCACTCTTCGTTGTACAGGAGAACGAGGATACGCACCAAAGCGGGCGATGCCCCCGTTTTCCGAGTGCATATGCATGCATTTTCCAAGTCTCAAAAAAGGACTTTGCGGGAAATGCTTCAAGCCTGCGCACGAAACAGCGTGTGAGGACAGATGCGAGTTATGCCGCCAGCCTCGCAACGCTCTGTTGTGCCCGGCAAGAGCTGCTTCTCTTCCTAGGAACAGGGAGTTCTAAGCTCTCACACTATATTGGCACAATATTCTACTATATTCTGCACTGACTGCCAACATATTCCTCATACCACCACCTCCAGCCGATGAACACCGCACTAGGAAAATCTTCAATTAGATGTTTACTGATTGTTTGTTAATTGTTTTGTTGGCTGGAGGAGGTTGCGCATTACCGCGACCCCGCGACTTTTTTCGTTTTAAGCTGTTTCTTTGTGTCCGACCTCCCAGAAGTGTTGTGGTCGGAACTGAGGCGACTCCTTAACACCAATTTGCCTAAAGAGGAGCTTACGGTGGCGGTCGCCCGATCGGGTCTAGACGACACTGTTCGCCTCGTGGATATTCCTCCCAACACCCTAAAAAATCGTCTCGTTTGAAACAGCCTTTATGACCGCACATGCGCGACTGAGAATTGTGTGGTCTGTCCCAATGGCAGTGAGGGAGACTGTGCCATCGCAGGTGTGGTTTACAGAATCATTTGCCGAAATTGTGGAGACGAATATATAGGGGAGACGGCCAGGCCGCTTTACGTTCGTGTCAGGGAGTATTTTGAGGGGAAGACGAGATCGCAGACATCTACTGCCTTAGGTTGCCACAGGCTGGAATCTCATAAACGGGACGATTTTGAGGTCATCGTCG